TCCCCAATTCCAGGTCTGATTAGGAAGGACAGACCATTGCAGTGAGCCCAGCCCAGACCTGAATTACTTGGGCTGAAGAACATTGGCACTGCTGATAGAGGCATTAATGCTGGTTTTGTGTCTTCTCCACAGCGTGATGCTGTCTCAAGGTCCTTTGGCCCTTCCTCATTCCTCCTATTTAGTCTTTAGCCTACGTAGGGTAGGCTGGATACCCACTACCCCATTTGTCTTGGAGCAGCCTTGCCATTAGACCAGGTGTTCAATCTCCCCAGGTGTAGTTGTCTGTCTGTTTGCCAGTCTTGTTCCCCCACTGCCTTCTTGGAAGATTGCCCTCCATATAGAAACAGAACATTGGAATTAAATTGCATTCATTTGCACATCATTGGAAATTCCAGCAAAGAGAAGAGTCTAAGCTAACCTTTTTAAACCAAAACAGTCTGTTTAGTATCTGGAAATGATAATGCTCAGTGTTGGTAGAGCACAGTTTGCTAGAACTTTTGGGAAAAACTGTTTGGCAGGATATATCATGACACTTAAAAGAACCTTCTAACCTTTGACCCACTAACTTTACTTCCAGGAATTTATGCTAAGGAAACAATTGGTGACACAGGCAGTGATTCTCTGCAAGGATGTGATGGCAGAACTATTTATAATAACTAAAAGGGGATAACAATCTGAGTCCACACAGAGAGAATGGCTATATAAATCAGGTACACCATACAATAGAATACCCTGTGGCCATTTTAAAATTTATCAAAGGCTATTAAATGACACTGGAAATCTTTATCATGTTGAGCAATTAAAAAAGCAGGCTGTGAACCATGTATTTAATATTATGCCCCCCCCAAAGTGAGGAGCCATTTGCTAAGTTGTTAACAGTGATTATCTGTTGTATAAATTACTTTTTTTCTTTATTTTTTGGTATTTTCCCACTTTTCTGCAGAGCCATAATTTGGTTGTCAGAATTTGGAAAAACTAACTTCCTTTCTCCTCCAACCCCCCATCCCCATGCTGTGGATTGAACCCAGGGCCTTGTGCACCCCAAACAAATCCTCTACTGTAGCACTACATCCCAAGCCCAAGATTAACTTTCTTCTTATTGGTGAGCTTGTGTCTCCAGTAAGAGTGCCATTCATCTTATACCAGCTCCACAGTGGTGGTGCTGAGGCCTGAAAGGGTCTAATGAGTGTTCTAATTGGGAGCCTTCCCATGCAGCACTATCCACAGCATGACAGACATACCCTGGCCAGTGCACAAGATGGTCCATCATTCAAGTGAATCACCACAGAAGAGTGTCAAGCTTGTGATATGACTATGCACTGTACTTGAACTATCAGCTTCAACCCCACGGGCTGCCAAGCCTTTAGCCTTATCTCCCTAAGCCGTTACTCTTTCACTGTCCAGAGCATCAAAGGAACTGCCTGGGATAACTACTCCTTTTGAGGACACCATGAACCAGCAAACTACAGCTGATGCATGCCTTCTAGTTGGATGCAGACCAACCCAGCAAATGTTCCATCCATGCTAAAGTTGAGGCTGTTGTTGGGCCTTGATGAGTGGCCTGGAAGGACACCAGGAGTATTTAGAGTGAAAAATGTGCTGGGATGTTCAGCTGGGAGATGCCCAGGGGCTGAGGGATGTAGAGGAGCCTTGGTCATCTGCTAAAATTGTAGTTAGAAAGTTATTTCCTCCTGTCTTAATTTTGATCTTTTATTATCTTTGACCTCATTAGTGGGAAAAGAAGTTAAGGCTTCCTCATTGGAGGTTTTAGAGCCAAGTACAATTGACCATTTTCTCATTGTTGTTGGCTGAGTTTGTTTGGGATTGTTAAAGGGTGAGATTTTGTGTGTTTGTTAGTTAACTCTTATCATTTTTTTAAGTAAGCTGTAACCAGCCACTGCTATAGTGGAGGGAGAATTGATGCCCAGGATGTCACTGTCATCATCCCCATGCATCTTCAGTCCCTCTTATATGTTGTATGAATTCCATCAAAACTACAATAGAATGTCCTCAGTGTCTCTGAGAGGATTGCTTCCGTGTATATAGGCCTTCTGCTACTGTAAGTATCCTTCAGTATCTAAAAATATACACTAGTATTGATAGGACATTTATGATGTGTCTCTGGAGTACAAACAAAAGGCACAATTCCTTTAGCAGTTGAAAACATAAAAAGTACTGTGGAGTATGCATTTTATTATTACATGCACTCCAGCACACTTAATAGATTTTAAATTGTGGCCATTTCATAGCAAATAAATGTTATTGCTATGACTAAAATAAACAAACAAATGAAATTCTCTTAGATGTTAAAATGTGTGGTTAATGCTATGGCAGTTGACATGGGGATTGGAGAGTCACTTCTTACAACAGTTATGAGTGCCCTGCATTCCAGCCTCACCCCCAGATAATTTCAGCCATGTTCTCCTGGCCAAGAACCACTGAGATGTCTGAGGGTATAAAATGACATTCAGAACCCACATTGCATTCCTAGCCTGTGTTGCCAGCCAAAGGCATGATTCTTGGTACAAGGGGGATAGGAAGCTAGAGGTGTTTCCTTTCTATAGAAGTCATTTTAAAATATTTTGTAGTTTCTTTTTCATTACCCTATGGTACCAGTGACCACAGGAACAGATTAGCTTAGGTTTGGGGCCCAGGCTGTTCTCTTGAACCTCCAGCTGGTTCCTGGACTTACTGACTGGGACATTATCTATCAGGGCAGAGAGGAAGGCCTGCCGAAGCATGTTGGGCTAGAGTGAGGCTTGCCTGCGGATACCCCATTGTGGTGCAGTCCTAAGAAAGACTGCTCAGCATAGGTGGAGGTGCCCCTGTTCCTGGGACCAAAGTCAGAGTCAGCAGGAATAGACATGAAACTTGTAATAGTGTCACTTACCTCCCTGTGATGATTCCTACCATTTTGGTTTACAGTTGTTTTTTTTTAACCTATCCCATCTTGTCAAATATCATTTAAGCTCTTTGAAGCCAGGCACTCTGGCAAATTCCACTTACTGTCTCGCTCGCTCATTGTTGGTGCTCAACAATGAGTCTTTGCTGTATTGAGAAAAATGTTTTTAAAGGAATCTGCTCTGAATTTAATTTCTTCCCTTCTATGAATTCCATCTGCTATATAAGTCTACCAGACAGAACACTTGAGGCAGGACTGTGGAGTCTGTTGGAATTTATAATGTGTTGAGTCTTATTGAGTCTGTTGCTGTGTTTCCATGCTTCCTTGCAAATGTGGTAGGCATCTAAAGGAAACCCATAAATCAGTGGTTAAGAAGATTGCTAATGCTGTGGCTGGGTCTGGAGACCAGATAAGGTCTGCTATCCCAGAGACAGAGCATTGGCAATGAGACCCCAGGCTTAGGGTCAAGGCATTGGGATTTGAACCTTAGCCCTGTCACTTACAGGCTGGGTATCCTCAGGCAAGCTTTACCCTAGCCCAAGTTTTCATATCTGTGAAGTGGAAATTTTAATAGTGCCTACAATGTGGGCTTATTCGGTAGCTTAATGAGATCAACTAGTTTGCTCACAAGCTATTGAATACCTATCGGCAGTGAACAAAAGGGACAAAGCTTCCTTCTCTTATAGAATTCATATTCTAACAATATAATAACTCATATTAGCATTTAATAAGTGCCTAATCAGATTCATCAGAGGATAGCTGATGAACTTTACATAATGGGGCACTGAATGCTTCCACAGGTCTTTATGTTACAGCAGTAGCAATTAGGGCCATTGTCAGGTCTGAACTGGTTTAACCCTAATGAAGTCTTGTTAAGTAGGACATGCATGTGTTCTTGCTAAACCCCAGTCTGCTTAGGAAATCTGTCCCTTTGGACTGGATTTCTGTCCATTTCACCTCCATAAACTGCTTTGTCTAAACAGTCCAGCAGCCAGCTCAGATTCAGATGATGGTGGTCCTATAGCTAGCTAATCTTCACATCTTCTCACACATCCATGTTTTAACTTTCACATGTGATTTCACTGAGTTACTAAGGCATTTGTGTAATTTGTGGAAATAAATCAGATGGCTGGCAAGACCAATTAAAATTCATAAATGAAAGCCAGGTGTGGTGGCACATGCCTTTAATCCCAGCACTCAGGAGGCAGAGGCAGGTGAATCTCGGTGAGTTTAAGGCCAGCCTAGTCTATATAATGAGTTCTAGGCCAGCTGGGACTATAGGGGAGACCCTGTCTCACAAAAGACCAAAAACAGAAAAATCTACAAATGAGATTGTAGTAATTTTAGTCATTCCTCTTCAGCCATCCATGAAAGAACAAGATGGACACACTTAAGGTTTTGGTTCCTTTTTAAAAATTGTCTTCCCACTGAGGCTGTTCTTTGAGCATCAAAATGCTCAAAATCCATGAAAGGAGAAAGGACAGTATACCTTCAAGGAGCAGTACACAGCCATAATTGCTGTGTCTGAGAGGTATGTGTCTATCTTCCTCTGTACCCTATTGTGTTTCTAATGCACACACAGATCTACAATGGCACACAGCCCATGTAGTTAAAAATGTAAACAGGAAATTGTTTTCTAGCTGAATGACCTTTGTAACCCAGAAAAAGAGTCATTTCTGCTGAGACATAACTTAAAAAACACACACCAGTGAGTACTGAAAGCTGATTGGGAATGAGGCCTGCATAGAACAAAGTGGGTAATAAGACTCAGGTACAGACTCATGTATGTAATTTCAGGGCACCGTTCACCAGGGACCAACCATAAGACGGATGATGGGAGAAGCTCCCATCTCTTAGAAAGTAGTTGCTCCGTACAGGGTGAAGAGGCATGTTTGTACAGCAAGGAATCAGGGAACATGCATTCCTTGGAAGATGCAGAGGCCTGGCCCAGAGCTCAAGACTTGGCAGCATGCCTCTGAGTTTTGGTGCTCCTGCATTCTGTTCCAATGCCCTGTCATCTGGCCTCTCATTAGCCTCCTGTGCTCCCATTGTGGTTTCCCTGTGTGCTGACAAGTTTTCTGGTTGTTATGTCTTGCAGCCCCCCGAATCCAAGCCCAACTTCACCCCTCTCGCCATCATGGCCCATGTTCTCGGCACCATCCAGTCCTATGCCCACCTCATCCACGTCCAGCGACTCATCCCCCGCCAGGTCTGTTGCAGGGTTTGTTTGGTTTTCTGTTGCTGCTCTTGTTCTCTCATTGGCTTGGGCCCCTCTTCATGCAGTGTTCAGCTTCCTCGTCAACTTTGTTCTCTGCCATCCAAACCTGCGCTTGCTTTTTGACAGGCCAGAAGAAACGGTTCATGAAGACTCCAGGTAAATCATGGATGGTGACTGATGTTTCTGTTTATGCAGGGCTGGTCGGGGACATTGGGGGCCCTCCTCTGCTCTCCTGTGATTCCATCCTAAGAAACCAAGACCAGGAGGGACAATTTGTATGACTCTGCATGGCACTTTTAATATCCTCTCTAGACCTTATCTAAGTTCTGAATTACTCTGTGGTGCCTGAAGCTTGGGGACAGGATACCTCCTAAATAACACTCTTGTTTTGATGGTTCTCTGAATTTGGTCTCTCCATGCTCTGGTATAAGATAATGTTTTAAGGAACAGTGTTGAGACATGAACTGGCCTTTCCTTATCTCATTTTTATCAGATAGTGTCAGGTGAAGTTTGTGGGTTGGAGTGCCAGCCCTGAGCACTAAGACCAGATTCACTGTGTGAGAGGCGACTGTTCACAAAATTAAAGACAGACAGGAAGCAATTTCTCTTTAAATTGCTCAGGGCTTTTGCCTCCTTGCCCTCCATGTACTCCAGGAATCTTATGGCCTCCCAGCCCTCTCCTGTCTCTGTGGGTCATGACCCTGAGTGCTCATGGGACCAGGAACCACCTCTTTTTTGTGGGTGAGTGACTTGACCTAGTTCTTTTTCCAAAGGGCTGTGCTATAGTTTCCCCTGCCATGGAGACTTCCATAGCTAAGTGTCACTATTCTTCCTTCTTGAGTTCTTTGCAGAAAAGAAGCACTTCAAATCCATGAAAAGAAATAATAAAGATCCTGCACACTCTATGCCATGGGGCCCCTGCCATGGGCACATCTCAAACTCAATCTCTGCCTTCAGAGCGAAAACTCAAAGAGTCCAGTTATAAGTATCACATGCATTCTTGGCTTTGGTAGGATTTTCTCATCCTGATTTTCCTCCTTAGCATGGGTCCATCCATGACGCTTAAATAATTTATAAAGCTGACTCTTGTTTTCTTAAAAAAGAAAATCACATGCTATCTATATATACAAGTAAGTACATTGCTATATGCCCCTACAGGCGGTTCCACATCTCTCACTTCATTCTATCCTCAAGTGACAATAAGACAAGAAATAGCCTGAACCCTGTTGCAGAAAAAGAAAACTAAGGAGCAGAAAGATGACATGGTCACTGATTAGATGAAAACCACTTCAGATTTAGGAGTTCTCACCCTCAGCTCAGCATTTTCATTCTGAAGACATGAACAGCCCTAGTTAAGTTTCTGTGCCACCCCACCACTAGGCTCTGCTGGGTTAGACAAAGGCTTCCCAACTAGCTTGGTCTTGGATGGTGGGAAAGATGGGTCTGCAGTGTATTCTTTTTCCTTTCCCTATATATAAGGTAAAAAATCAGATCCTGGTTTTCTAACACTTAAGCTATTTGTGAATTATTTCTTAGGTACCGTCTGAACAACTTGAGTGGTAACTATTTCTAGGTTACCAGAAATGGTATAGATTATTCTAATTAAGTCTAGTCAGTTGGCTCGTGAGGACCTGGAGCAGAGGAACTACAATGGCTCACTCATTTATTAAACAGACTAGGCCTTAGGAGAAAGGGGCTGTCTTTTTCATGACAAGTGAGTAAATGGTTATTCAGTACTGCCCGATCTGGCCTTTGTTTAAAAAAGCATCATTAGAGGGGAAGGGGTATAAAGATGATTAAGATGTTCTGTATGAAATACACCAAAATTCAATAAATTTTTTTTAAAGCACAATTATGAAGCTGCCATTTTGAAATAGGCAAGGCAGAGTAGGGCTTGGAATCGAATGTCACTGAGCTCTACATGTGTCCACTGAGATAAATTCAGATAGGAACCCAGCTGGAAAGGTAGCCCACTATTAGGCCAGAGAGTAGTTACAGCCCCCTAACTGCTGTTTCAATGTACAGCCCAGAGATGGGGGCGTATGCCCAAAATTCAGGTCTAGTATTTCCTTTCCCCAAATTGACTAACAGAACATGAAACTTCAGATGTCCTTTCCCTGGGCAAAGCTTTTAGAAACATTCTGAGTGAGGCCTAATCAGCAGTCCCAAAAGCTTTTGGAAATGGCTTCCTCTCCTGTCCTCAGACCATTTTCTGAGCTGCTTGTTTGAAGCTCAGGGGTGAGTAGAGGCCACTGACTATATCACAGAATTAAAGACTGAGACGTGAAGCACTTTCTCTTTAAACTACTCTGGGTTCCTGTCTCCTTACCCTTGGGTGCTGGAGGAGCCTGCGCTTAACCTTTGCCTTTGCTTTCACTTGCCTACCTACCTCACAAGAAGCCTCTGCCTTGGACCCCTAACTTTTATTTGCACCTGGGGCCTAGGAAACTTCCTTAATGATCAGGCCATTGCAGGCTAGCCCCACCTCCAGTAGTGTGCACAGTAGAGAGTGGGTTGTCATTCTGCAAGCTTGCAAGGGCATTTGAGGGAAATTCCTCTGAGTGCTTTCCTGGCTTCATGCCATGCTCAGAGGCAAAAATTAAAAGTGAACCAGCAGAAAGATCCAAAGTTGTTTATGCCCTTGAAGGCCCAGCTGAGAGCTGCTGTGACAGGAATTACCAGAACTTCCCCACGCTATGTCCAGTGCCATATCCAGTCGCAGAGCAGAGAGCCAAGCAAACAGCAGCATAGTAGAAGGCACATCTTTAGTCAGAGCCAAAGTCTACAACACGAATTTTCAGCTGTCGGTTTTGGTAGGAGCCCTTTACCTAAAGCAAACCTCAGAGCTTTGCAAAGGCAGCTAACTGTGAGCCCTAGGCTTGTTGCAGTGGCAAACTTTTAAAAAGATTTGACTTGTCCTGGTTAGAGTTGCCAGATTTAGTGGATCAGATAAAAATACAACCTACTCAGTTAAATTTGAATTGAAGATAAATAACAAATACATTTCTTAGTGTATCTTATGGAGACACACACAAAATTATTTATTGTTTATATGAAATTCAGATTTAACTATATGTACTACATTTCCTCTGGCAACCTTACTTCTGAGGAAAGGAACAGCCCCTTTCAAAAGCACCCCTTCTAGGGCTAGGGATGAAGCTCAGTGGTACAGTGCTTGCCTAGCATGTACAAGGCCCTGGGCTTGATCCCTAACTTATATACATGTATTCATCCATACATAAATATACCCCTCTACCATCCCTTTCACCTTTCTGTACATCCTAAGGGAGTAGGGTCTATCAGTTGTCAGACACTTAATGTAGGAAGAAAAACAAGCCCTTCCCTGAACTTTGTTTATACTTCTAATGCACTATTTTCCTTTCATTACTCAATTGCAAAGCCTAATATTGGTGGAAAGTTACTACTTTCAAATGATAATCTTGGGCACCAGAAACAATGGCCTCTGCTTTCTACTTGCCAAACACTCCTGCTCGTTTCCCTGGATGGCCCCTGTTCTGTCCCATTACCTTTATTTAATGAGGTTAATAAGTAACTTTGAGGAATATCAGCCAGAAGAACCTTGCCTTCCCTGGGCTCTTTGTACTTTGCCCACTGCTCTGCCCTGTGCCAAGAGGCATTCCCACCTCAGCCTGGTCTCTAAGAAAGACCCTTGCTCCTATGGCCAGGACTCTCTTTCCACCTTCCATGCCATGAAAGGCTACACTTGCCTGTCAGTTCACTATTTGGTTGTTTTGTCCCCTTTCATAGCCAGATGACTTCTCCTAGCTATTCTCCACACCCCCTGGCAGGGAGAAACACTTTTTATTCACCCTAGACAGCTACACAGTGAGTGCTGTGCCCTTGCTAGACAACATACAGGTTTAGTGTAGTTAGAGCAAGAACATGCCCTTTGCACCAAACTTTATTATTTAATGAGAATCAGACAGGAAGAGCTGTTTTCCAATTGGTAAAAAGGCTTCCCTCATTCATTCCAGTATCTCCATGTCATTTTCTTTTTCTTTCCCAGTTTTTTTCCTCCCCAGCATTCATTCCTGGCTATAAGAAAACCAGAGGGAACAACAGTAAACTGTAATTTCCCTGGCAACAAATTCTGCATGACCATTGGCTCTGCTCATCCTACTGTACAATGCTCTTTCATTGGTCTTCCCTTCAGTTTTCATGGAACAAAGACAGGAAGGATTAGATTCTTGGCCCTTGGTCTAGGTTTTTATCTATCTGTATGACTCTTCTTTCTAAAAAAGAAGCTGCACGTGGTTTCCCCCAAGCAATAGCATCAGTTCCAGAATGACCCAGGATGCCCCACCACCTCTAATTCTGTCTGGCCTGACCTGAAACCAGAACCACCTTCATCCACTGGAAATGCATGCACCCAAGGAACCAGGGCATTGCCAGCTCTTTGATGCTCTCTGATTGTCAAGTGAAAATAAAGTAAATCTATCTCTTGACTGATTGTCTAACCCAGAGGACTCCTGGCTCATTTTAAAATTGTGCTTATGAATTCTGAGGTGTACTTCCTCAGATGACTTGGAGAAAGAACATCACTTGTGACAAATAACCTTTTGGCTATTAAATATTATTCTGACCCTTAAGAAGTCTGTAAACTGATCAGAATAGTTGGATACTAAAGCCAAACTTGACAGGAAATAATAAATTAGCTTGTGCTTACAAATGACCTTGAAGATATTGGCTCGTACCTTGTGGCCTGTGATGGGTCAAACCCTGCCTGACTTCTTGGTAGATAAGCTTTCATTGGAACACTGCCCCACCACTTATTTACATGGTGTCCCTGACTGCTTTGTGCTGCCACGCAGCATGGAGTCATTACAACAGAGACCATATACTTTCAGAAGCTACAAGATTGGCCATTGCTTTGCAGAAACTTGCCAGCCTCTGCTCTATAAGCTTCTCAACCCTAGTTGTGTGGGGGAGTCACTCGGAGAGTGACATCCAGCCAGTATTAATAGTATTAACAGTTTTAAATTCTGATGCTTATATCTGTGATTCAGCAGGACCCAGACTTTTTAAATGCTCTCCAGGTAATCCTGATGACACAGAGAGTGTAGTCAACATTCCCTGACCAAGAGAAAGACCTAAAACACAACACAACAAAACAAAATAGCCTTCTGTGTCCTCTGCTTTCTTCCTCCTCTGTAAACTCCCACACTGGTGGCCTTGTGTGCTTATACACGTATATGTAACTTTCACACACCCCTCCTCCCTTCCATGTCATACCCTGGGGACTGAGAAGTTCCAGTTTTGGAATGCTGCCCCATAAGCAAGCCCCAGGCTCCTGAGAAGCGAAGAACATCTAGGAGAACGCAGGCTGCCCTGTCAGGGCCTAAGCCTGGCTCTGCTGGAGTTTCTCCTGATTCACTGAACATCGCCAGCTTCTGAGAGCCAGGTGGCCAAGGTTCTCCAGGCAGGGTGGAGGTTCCTTCCCACCCCCAGGCACTCCTTCCTTGAAAGCTACTCCCCTCCCCTCCAAGGCTCTGCTGTTGGAACTCTGGTAAAAAAAGCTTCACCACGGTACAAGGTGACCCTTGAAGTGTGCTTTCTTGGAGCTTATGGCTTTTTTCCTGACTCTTCTCACTTTTCCCCTGCAGCCTTTACAACTTTCCCACCTCCAGTTTTGCCATCTGGCTTCTTTGTCAGGCTCTTCCCAGGAGAGAGGACTAGGTGGCTTGCAGGGAAGGGGAAGAAGAAAAATGAAATATCAGGGACTCTGGGGTGGAAAACAGTGTTAAATAAACTTCTCTCTCCACACAGCATGCCGTTCCGGAAGGCAAAGGCCTTGTACGCTTGCAAAGCCGAACACGACTCGGAGCTCTCATTTACAGCAGGCACTGTCTTCGATAATGGTGAGTTTCTCATTGCCTCACAAAGATTTGGGGGAAATAAATGAATACATTTCTCATGTGGGGGCAGAGGTCTCAAAATCAGACTTCCGGAGGCATTACCTTGAGTAGACACACATAGGCAGCCTGTCATTGAATATTTAGAACGTAGAATGAGATTGTACCTGCAAAGGCCAGACCACAGTACTTGGTTCTAGAGTTCAGGGTCTTGGCTAGACAGGGTGGAGCATAAGGCCACCTGCTTTGTGCATTCCCCTTGGAATCAAGAGCTGCAGTGGATTCAGCAGGCAAGGCCCATTCCCAGACAGCTGGGCACTGGGCGGGCTCTGCAGCAGTGAGCCTCCCTGGGCTCCTGCTCATCCTCCCCTGAACTTGGGAGCACAGAACAGACTGGCTCCATGATATCACCGACACCCCAGCAGCTGGCCTGCTATGATACCCTGGTGCAAAAATGGGTCCGTGGCACTCTGTAAAACAGGGTCAGTACTTGCTTAGTGCAACCATTTTCTTTGTGCCTTTTTGTCTTCCACCCTAAAGACATATAATTTGCCATAATAATTTACCCAAAAGGAAAATCCAGATTCCTTTGCAAATACCAGGTTTCTGTGAGTGCTGCATTTTCTGCAGATGAAGTTCTCCTTTGGGGTTCAAGGCTGTTTGTTTTGTTTGCCTAAAAGGGGCCTGCAACAACCTGATTTTAGAACCTGGACATTTTCTCTGACCATTCCTTGGCCCCAAGTGGGCTAAAAGCAGAGTTCACACCAACCTGGCTAGGTAACTCTGCCTGGCCCCAGACCTGCATCCTCCCATGTGACTGAGAGCCAGCAGAGGGGGAGAGCAGTCAAAGTGCCTGCACTGCACAGAAGAGCCTAAACTCCAGAGCCAGGCCACAGCATACATCTCAGCCTGACCTCTTGCTCTTGTGTGACCTCTAACAACAACTTAACCTCTGTGTGTCCCAGTTCTCTTCAGTGTCACAGCAGGTAACACTACCTACCTTACAGGGCATGGTGAAGAGATGTCAAGAAAATACATGTCCCAGGTTTCAGTTGGTACTTAACACATTGAAGTCATTCAGTATGCTATCCTTATTGTTAGGATCTTATGTCCATCTAAGAAAAAGGCTCTAGCATTGATCCATTCACAAGGGCAGGTTTTCTTTCTTTTTTTTTCCTTTTCTGGCTAACATGGTCCAAACCTGGCTGTCAGCTGGCTCTAGGCACTGGTTATAGGTCCCTGGGACCCGCTCCTTGACTGCAGTCCCAGCCAAAGTAGCTAGTGCCAGGTGTGCCCAGCCCCTGCATTCTTCCCAGCTATTAGTCAGACACGGATAGACAGAGCTGCAAACACAGCACAGAATGCAGGGACAGTCCCAGCCTAGGGCCTCCTGGGCCAGGAATTGGGACAAGGTCAAAACTACATGTGGCCTACTGGGCCTGCAGTCTACCTTGGCAGTTCCCAAAGCCCAAAGCTCTGTTTTGAGACCTTGATTCTGTTGACTTCTGGGTTCTTTGCAAATCAGAGCATGGAAACAATTAGTACAATCCCCTCTTTCCTGTCTACAGCTGTGCTTTCAGGCCAGCAGACTGGCAGGTGCAGTGAGTCTGCTGATGGCTGTCTAGACCAGGCCATTGGTGACTGTCCCCTGCACAGATCGACTAGGAAGTCAGCCCAGCTGTAACCTGATACAGCCTCCCAACAGACAAATCAGAATAGGCCACACTGCTTGGCAGCTGTGCTCCTACATGTGGGTGAACAGGCTGAGTGATCCTCACACTTAGAGAGACTCCAGAACTCTAAGCCCTGTCCTCTAAGACACAGTTCACTGCTCATCCAGGTAGGGGACCATCTTGTTTCAACCAGTTCTTCACTCTGCCCACACAGCAACCCCTCAAGGGTGGTATATGTGCTTGCACACCTTATTGGTAACTGTTGAGTGTGGCAGCATTCTTCCAATTTTGGAACAGGTTTATTGAGGTATACACATGCCATGTAATTTTTCCATTTAAAGTGCACAGTACAATTCTATGATTGGAATATATTCAGAGCTTACCGCTATGTAATTCCAGGATGCTTTTAACATGCACACGTGCGTGTGCGCACACACAGACACACACACACACACACACCAGTGAACCACATATCCATTAGCAGTCGTGTGCCATGTACCTCTAACCTTCCTCCATCCAACCAAAGAAAATTACTAATCTATTTTCTGTCTCCAAAGATTGGTCTGCTCTGAGCATTTCATACAAATAGAATTATGTAACATGTGGTCTTCATGAACAGGTTTTCTTTTTTATGTAACTTTTTCAAAGCTGATCCATGATATATGTCTGCACTTCATTCCTTTTTATGGCTGAATAATATTCCATTGTTTAAATATACCACGTTAATTGATGAACATTTTTTTATTCTCACTTTTTTACTGTCATAGTTAATATTTATGTTTGAGTGTTTTAAAGGCATAAGCTTTCCATTCTTTTGGGATTGTTGAATCAAATGGTAACTCTATGTTTTACTGTTTGAGGAAATGCAAAACCAGTTTTTATAAGGAGCTTGCACCACTTTGTATTCCCTCCTCTTTGATTTCTAAGTCTCCTTCTTGAGGTAGCTTAGGTAGTTAACAACAACAAAGTCAGGTGCACATCCCTGTGACTTTTACTGGCCTGGGCCTTTCCTTCCCACAGGATGCTCAGCCAGGAGGGTGCTGTGACCACTCCCATCCCACCACCATCAAAAGTCCTCAAAGACACATGCAGCAAAAGGTCTGCTTTCCTTTCCCAATCCTTGTGATCTTTGGGATCCTGGCAGAGTTCTCCAATACTAGTCTGTTTTAAATACGCAATGCCAGCAACCTTCCAGGGACAAATCAAGCCTGAAAGAAAACACCCCTTGGTATCAACAGGACTTCAGTCAAAGATAGGTCCAACAGAAAAAAAAATTTTTTTTTTTACTTTGTGTGTGTGTGGTGTGTGCATGCGTGTGTGTGTGTGTGTGTGTGTGTGTGTGTTTGTGTGTGTGTCTTCAGGCATGCTTGAGCCAGGGCACATATGTAGAGGTGGGAGAACACCTTTTCGGGATTTTCCTTTCATTTTTTTTTTGTGACTAGAGCTCCCTTACTCTTTCTGCTGCAAAACTCCAGGCTAGCTAGTGTGAGAACTTCGATATGATTGTCCTGAACATCTCCCATTTCACCATAGGAGTCCTAGGATTACAGATGCACACCATCATATCCAGCTTTTTACTTGGACTCTAGGGATCAAACTCAAGGCATTTGGCAAGAGCTTTTACCTCCTGGGCCATCTCCCTGAACCCTGACAGAAATATTAATCCACTTTCTAGATAGATTTGCTGATTATTTCATTGGGTCCTATTCTAGAGGAAAATGCTACATGTGCTCCTTTGTCAGAAAAATCAGGTACTACAAAAGAAAAATGATGACGATGTTAGATGGAGGTGGCCCTTTCCTAGTGCCCTGTCATACGTTGACTCTGGTACTAGTAGGTAAAGGCTGTTTACCTGGGATGCTCAGTAGCTGTCAGGTTAAAACATCAGCCCAGCTCCTGACAGGTTTGAGCCTGTGTGCTCATGCCCTTCTCATGTCTGAGCTGTGTTTTGTGTGTTTCCTTTTTCAGGAATAAGGAGAGAGGGAGGGGTGAAAGTCTACTGTTTCATAACCATTAACCCCTCAGCCCTGGGATTCCAGGAGCCCGTGTGGTGACTGAGCCACTGCTTAGTCAGCTCCTGGACTTTGTGCAGTGGGGGATGGGCATGCAATACTTAGAAATATCTCCATTGTCAGCCCTTGCTAGTCTACTAGGAAACTTTCCCTTCCACCAGGAGCCCCTCAGACAGTAACTGGAAAGAGAAGTAATTCCTGTTCTTAGGAACAACAGTCATCGGGAAACAGTGTGATTAGCCATACCTAGAAAATTCACGTGGCAGTCACAAGAATTGGGTTCTTGGGATACTTTCATCAAACTTCCAGGTGAGGGACTGGGGAGATGGATCAGTTGGTAAGTGTTTGCCGCACAGGCATGATGACCTGAGCTCCATCCCTGGCATCCATGTACAAAGCCAGGTGTGGTGATGTACCTGTGATCCCAGTGTTGGGGAGGCAGAGGCAAGAGGATCCTGGAGCTCGCTGGCCAGCCAGTCTAGCTGAATCCAGGAGCTCCAGGTTTGCCGAGAGTCTGTCTCAAAAACTAAGATGGAGAACAATTGAGGAAGATACCAGTACCAATCTCTGACCTCTACACATGTGCACATGAGCACGCATATCCATCCATACGTATATATGTACAAACATACAGAATATTTGAGGTGAGTCACATGTCTTCATTGTGGTATACATGGTGCCATACCAATGCCTGGCAGGACTGTCCCAGGAACCCCTGTTGGTAAATAGCATCCTCACCAGAGAGCCTCCAAGATGCTCAGGAGTGGGGTTACCCAGGAGTTCATGAGGCAAGTCTCAGGTCCCTCCCTGTGTTCACTGCCACACCAGCATCCATCCAGCCTTCCCTCCTCACCTAGATGTTCCTGCCAACTGCCTAGCAAGCCCCTTCTACTCGTGCACTCAGCCCATTTCTGCACAGCAGCCAGAGTGGTCTTCCAAATCCAGCTGTGTATTCCTCTGCTTACAGAGTCCTCCCATTCTCTCTGAAGGCTTCACAGGCTCTGCAGCCAGCCCCTACCCTTCTGAGCATTCACTCTGTACACCACAACCTCCATGGTCATCTTAATGTTCTGAAATAGGGCTGAGCAAACTACAAACTGCTGGTCAGCCACCTGTTTTTGGAAAATGAAGCTTTATTGATGCCTAGCCACCCGTGACTTTTTGTTTATATATTCTCTATGGCATACTAAGGACAGAGTTTGAGTAGAGAAATGATTTATCCTCTGGCTCTTTATGGGGAATTTGAAGTCCACTGTTCTGAGGTCACAAACAGTTCTATCTACTCAGGCTGACCCTGTGAGATCATTTAGGTTATAGCTTTCTGAGTTCCTCTCTTCTCAGATCCCTCCCCAGATCTCTCTCTCTCTCTCTCTCTCTCTCTCTCTCTCTCTCTCCCTCTCCCTCCCTCCCTCCCTCCCTTCTTTTCATTTTATGTTTATTGGTTTTTGTCCCTCCCCAAGGGGGACAGATAGAAGAGCCTATCACAGTGTCCGACACCTACTGAAGTACTCACCAGACATTTGTGGAATGAGTAGATGCTTGATAACTGCACAGAGGTTGGCACTTCCTCCAGTGGAGGCTTTTCCCCCAGGGGCAGCCAGCCATCAGAGATCTTAGTCCCTCTCACACTTGCCCATTGTCCACAGTGAATTAGGAGGGGAGAAAGCACGAGCTATGTGTACAGAGATGTGCCATGTATCCAAGGCTTCAGTGGAGAGAGAGAGATCTGTCCACGTCAGCAGCAGCTTATATGATGTGCTTGCCAGGCTGGATCACCACCCAGGCAGCTCCCTGCAACTCCTTGTGGGTCTATAGCACACTGGACACTGGTACAGTTCAGTCTTCCAAACACTAACTGAGCATCTTTGATGTTCAGTGCCAAGCAGAAGTTACCATAGGTACTGAGGTTAGCTGTCCTGGGCCCCTGGTGTACCTCCCTTATCTTCTAGCTGTGTAAATTTTGGCAAAGTGCCTAGCTTTTTGGACTCTGTTTCTTATCCTCAAAATGAGGATTCTAGCGGAACCAGCTCCACTGCACACTCAAGCTAACACAGTTAGGTGCTGTTGTAAAGTTTCTGCTGTTTAACATGGGCTCCCTGTTTATACCATTCTGGTTAGATCCAGGCAGGATATAATAGGAAGGACTTGGTCTCTGGACTCAGACAACAGGGTTCAAACTCTGGTTCTACCCTTATGACTGTGTACAAATTAATTTATCTAAAATTCTGAGCATATGGCCCCTTGATACTCAGCCTTTTGGAGTGTTGGGTTGCATTTATAATGCATAATATAGAGAAGAGGGAGAAACAAGTAGAGGCAATTCCATAATATTGTTTATGAAGGAGCTGGAGCTTCAGCTGAGCTTTAAAATGTAAGGCCAGGAAACAGAAGACAGCAGGAAGTGGGGGATATCTGGGCTGCCTCCCTCCTCCATTGGCTAACCAGACCAGAACTTGCACTCTGATTGTCACCTTTTTTTAGACAGAAAAGTTATGGCTTTTTACTTCTACAAAGCAATTAAAGGGCAGGTACTAGGCCACATTCCTAGATGTTCTATTGGTACTGATTTACATGGGGCCCAGGAATCTCCAGATTCCCTAAGCATGCAGGTAGGGCTGGTACATTGTCTAGCAGTAGACTTCAACAAACCCTGGCTCGAGGACTCCATTCAGCAGATGCATGCAAAGGCTGCTTCATCCCCCACTGTCCATATGACACACCTGTGGGCCTTCCTTGTCCTCTCTGATTCTTCCCATAGTCTGCCAATCCCACCTCTCGGGAGAAGTGCTGTTTGCACACCTGACTGAAAGAAGTGGACGTGTACATCCAGCACAGTAACAACCCAACAGGGAGCTGTGCTGCAGACTGGGTGGGCTCTCTGTTTTATTTTGTTCAGCTACTTTAATCTTTCTAGTTCATTTGTTTGGACAAATGGGTTTGCTTGTTTATTTTTGGTTTTAAGCATCTAAGGTTTTCTGATGATTTGGTAGGTGTGGAGACCAAGTCCCTGGCTAGGTTTTTGATTGATTGATTGATTGATTGATTGATTGATTGATTGATTGATTGATTGAGTGAGTGAGTGTACATGTGTGTCTAGTATGTGTGGTGGCCAGAGGGCCTTTCATTTTTTTTTTTTTTTTTAAGACGGGGTCTCAGTAAGTAGTCCTGGCTGGCCTGAAACTTGCTGTGATAGACCAGGCTGGCTTAGAACTCCTGGAGATCTACCTGCCTCTGCCTCCCAAGTACTGGTATCTTTACCACCACACGTTTTTTTTTTTCCTCTGCGTCTGTCTGTCTCTATCTATCTATCTATCTATCTATCTATCTATCTATCTATCTATCTATCATCTATCTACTTGAGACAGGGTCTTTCACTGAACCTGAAGCCATAGTTCCAAGAAAGTCTAGACTACAGGGTGAGACTCTGTCTCAAAAAAATATAAACAAAAATGAACAAACAAAACCTAAAAGCAGATAACAAGTAAAATATAGTTCTCAGCAATCATCCCTGGATATGCCTTGTGGTGCATTGTTGATATTGAGTAGGTAGGTGGGTACATGGATGGGTGGCTGACCAGCAAGCCCCTAGGTAGGGGTCCTCTTGTCTCTGCCTCCCAGTGCTAGGATTTCAGGTGCACACTGCCACACCTGGCTTTTTACATTGGTGCTGGGAGACTGAACTTGGTTCCTCATGCTTAGGTAGCAAGCACCTTACCTCCTGAGCTATCTCCCCAGCTCTTTGCCCATATTTTAATAGGAGGGAGTTTTCTCCTTGCTAATACACACTGGGAGTTTATGATGTGCCTGGTTCAGTGCCAAGTGCTTTGCCCGTCGTGGCTCCTTTAATCTGTACCAGAACCCACAGAAACAATTTTACACTATCACTGTAGAACAGGAAGTGATCCGGGCAGTCTCAGCTGGATAACCAGGCAGAGGAGGGCAAGGCTATTTGGCGTTCCTTAGGGGTGGCCTAGGAAGACTTTTGGTACCTGGAGAGGCAAGGTTGCCTCTAACTGCTCCATATACTTCCCTGAATGGTTGCTGTGGATCTAAGGTATTCTCTACCTTGGTTTTATTCTTGAAGCCTAATGGTGCAAAGTTATGTAAGGTTTTGGAGGCCAACCTAAGGGGTGTCTAGCCTTGTTCTCACCTAAGGAAGCATGGAAGTCCACATGTTAGTTCTTCTAGAAGCCTTGGTGCCTGTGCTTTTACTCCCTCCGCATTTGCTTCCTTTGGTTTCTGTTCTTGCTTCGTTCCTTATAAACCGAAAGTAGAATTAAATAGTAGTGTAGGGGAGGAAATGCTCTTCTAAAACAAGCTCAGGAAGTTGCTTAATTAGCCCAGGAAGCGAACAGGGGAAAATTCATTCTCTCCAAACAATCTTGGATAATTGGAGTTTTCCTAATCCATTTTAGAATGAATACCCTGCCCCACCTCAGAGTGGCCTGTACAGCTGGTTTACAAGTAGCAACATTCACACACACACACACACACACACACACACAGAGATCCATGATTCTGTCTTCTGTCCTGCTACAGAGTACTTTAGACTCAGCTGAATTTCTCCATAATCTTTATTATCAGTAGTTTCCATAGAGAGGGATTATGACATCACAGAAGTAGATCTATATTCTGTGGATATTGAAAAATCAAAGGGACGGAACTTTGAAAGTTGCAGCAGAAGGAGGAAGCAGACAACTTTCCAACTTGTATATAGAAAAAAGAAAAATTCTAGAGTACAGAAAAGAAAAATAAGAGCGTAGGTGGAACAGAAGGAAGGCATTCAAAGGCTGCAGCACGAAAGAAAGCTTTGCATGGAAATTAGAAGCAGTGGGTGAAGGTTTAAAGGAAAGTCAAATAAATGAGTAGAAACTAGATTGGTCAAGCTGGACTTGGTGGCTCAGTCTTCTGATCCCAGCGCTTGGAATGTTGAGGCAAGAGGATTGAATTCTAATCTAGTCTAGGATACAGAGTGAAACCCTATCTCAAAAAAACCACAAAAACCCAAAATGAATAAATCCCCAAAATTAGATAACCAGTAAAGAATAGTTCTTAGTAGTCCTCTCTGACAATGCCATATACTACATAGTTGATATTGAGTAGGTAGGTGTGTACATGGATGGATGGATGGATCGAGTATCACACCATTTACCTCTAGCCCTAAAAAAAGTAAATCTTTTGCATATAGTTTAAAGCAGAAACCATAAAATTTCTGAAGACCCTGAAACTGCACGATTTTGAATCTCTGAGTATTTCCCTTTTTGTTGTGGATAAAGTTCAAAACAGCCGGGGCTGGAGAGATGGCTCAGCAGTTAAGAACACTGGTTGTTCTTCCAGAAGACCTGGGTTTGAATCCCAGCATCCACATGACAGCTAACAACTGTCCGTAACTCTAGTCCCAGGGGATCCGACAGCCTCTTCTGACCTCTGCGGGCATTGCATGACACGGTTGCACTTACCTACATGCCGGCAATACACACATACACATAAAATAAAAATAATAAATAAAAAATTTGTTTAAAAAGTTCAAAACAGCCTTTATCAGAAGGAGAAGGCTTATATCCTACAAAAGGTTAGGGACCTCTGTTTAAAACCAGTTCTGGAATTATGTAGCATAACAAGCAATTGTACTCATTCCCTAACTTTCCTCACACTCCCTGGCAGCATAGCTCATCCACCTCCTGCTCTGCCCATGACCTCATCTCATCTCACTCTCTTTCCCCTTACAGTTCACCCATCTCAGGAACCTGGCTGGTTGGAGGGGACGCTGAATGGGAAGACTGGCCTCATCCCTGAGAACTACGTGGAGTTCCTCTAAACCTCAAGCCCCAGCAGAGCTCCTAAGCTTTACGTGGTCTCCATGACAACTGCTGATTCCGGTGTTGTGGGCCACTTTCCATTGCCACAGAAAAAGCAGAGACTGACTTTGTTGCTACCTGCCAACATGAATGCGTCTGGGAATTTGTGTCCCCCTTCACCATGATTCTCTCTACTGATAACATGGCAGGACTGCAGGAATCAAAAATCAATCAGCAGAGGGGGCCATTTGATTTTGGTAGCCCAGAGAAAGACTTGCAAAGCAGTTTTCTCATGAGTGCCCTAAGTAGAGAGCACTGATTTTGTTTCAGCAGTCACCAAACCCCCAACCTTTTAAAAGACGGAGTAAGATAAGAGTAAACCCCAAGAGCTTGCTGCATTGCTGAGTCTGACAGGGCAAGGCTGAGAACCTGGCACTAGATACAGGCCGGTCTACTGCTTTTGTTTACAGCAGAAGCTCTTCCTCTCCCCTGCCTTCTCAGAGGCCCACAGTGCTGCGGGCAGCTGGGTCTGTCTGTTTGCACACAGGATGAAGGGGTTGCAGCACTGTTTATATAAGGTCCAATCTCTCACCATCTCTGCAGCAACTCTTGGCTCGTCATCAGAATTTCAGCCCAGTCTTCTCATACAAAGAAGCACATGCACCCACATTTCCCGCTCCTGAACCAGGAACTTCTCTGCCACTGAGAACTGCCATCACTGCCATCACTTAGTAACCATGGCAACCCAACCTACTCTAAAACTAAGCCAAAAAATAACATTCCTCTTTGCATGACTCCCCCACCCCTTGCACTGGTAGTGTTTTTTTAATGGTCTTCCAACAACTGAAGCAGAGGATTGGGTAATCAGGTGATCTGTGTGGAACAGACAGGATAGCAGCTGTGGAATGTTCCCTTTCTGGTAAATTTCAGCATCATCAGGATACATTTGGCATAAACTCTAGCAACCCATTGGGATTAAATTACATCTAGGAGCAATACTCCTATTCTTCATGCAACAGGTGTTTGCTTCAGAAGGCAAGCTGCCTCCTCTCTATGGGGACAGCATCTGACTTGTTCCTTAAGTTCTCCCATTCCCTAGTCCCTGTCCTGCCATTGCCAGTGGTCACCAAGCAGCTTCCTGACAGTGCTTTAGCTACTGTAGATTTCAGAGATGAATCGGGGCCAAATCTGTGTCTTGAAGTTTAAAAGGACATCTATATTCACTGCCACTCAGAAAAAAGGGAATTAGTGTACAGGTTTTCTGGGCATGAGACTAATACAGGCCTTTAAGATTCAGGAAGACACCAAAGGTTGGGGCCTGGAGGCCAGGGTGTGTTACCTTCTAAGAAAGGCAATTCCTGTTTGAAAGGGGCTGGATTTGACAGAAGACTGTCATGGTTAGGGACAATCATCTGGATATTTCAAATTCATTATGACATCCAAAGAACAGAGTCATGATGTCTTCTACATGTGCATGTCCTTACAAGAGGGACTGTGGAGAGACAAACTGTCAGGCTCTCCTGAAGCCCCATTGATGGCAGCATTGCTCCCAAGAGCATCTCTGGCTTCTGGAATTCCGTTAGGGTCCTCTAATGAAGAAGAAAACAAAAACTTGAATTGTGTTGAATTACTGTATCTTTTACTTTTTTTAAAGATAAACTTGTAAATAGAGTGATTTGAAATACTATATGGTAAAGTTTTATATTTGATATTCTTTAAGCTAGTTGCTCTACACATTTAGTCATTGATTGCTGAAGAAGTGTGTTTAAGAAGGAGCCAAAGGAGACAGGGTTGAAGAGTCAAGGTTGTGGCCCCCTCTCTGGCCTGGCAAATGAAGATGTTTCCTAATGGTTCCTGTTGGTGAGCCTGACAGTTCATTGTGTTCCATTTTCTTTATCTACCTGTGTTTTTGAGCACTCTTTGGGCGGAGTTCAAAAGAGCATCTTCAGGCAATGAGTTTTCAAAGAACTCCCACCTAGCGTAAGGTGACACTCAGGATTTAAACAGGTGGGTCCAGGGTGACTTGTTTATTTTCTTCTCAGGTGTATTTCTTGGTACCCCAGGCCATCCAGACAAAAGGAGATGAGGCAGTTACATACTCTCACTCCTTTTTGCATATCCAAGGTGTTACTAATGTAGCCACACTAGTTTGTAAATGCTGTGTGTCTTTCAGTTCTAAGAACTAAACAAAGCCAACTGCTTGGGGTCTTTGGTTGTTCTTCCTTCCTATAGATAGGCTTTTGCTCTTGCCATTTACCCCCAGGTTCCCTATGGCCCAAAAGGAAGGAAAAGACCACAAGATGATGCTGTTTCAGTTTTTAAAGTGGCTGTAAAGTTAATTGGAGTTCTTTGTTGTGACAGTATTCAGTTAACAGGTCAGGGATTATACTACTGTCACCCAGAAACTCAGCCAGGAGCAAGGGAGACTACCCTCCAGTTAGGGAGCAAGAGTGAAGCCAAGCAAGGGGAGCACAGGACTCAAAGCATCACTGAAGCTGGATATGATGGCTCATGCCTGTAATCTTAACACTTGAGGGGCTGAGAAAGGAGAATTTCTGAAGTTCTAGGCCAGTCAGGCTAGAGGGGTTGGAGAGGGAGAGGGAGCGATCATTGAGAACCGAAGGAGGAGGACAGGGACTATACTCAGGTTCCACATCTGTTCTCTGTAGTCTTGAGAACAGACTGGGAAATGGGGTGTGAGGGGCATATGCACTCATGTGTCATTGTGCTTTCAAAACTGAAAGAGCCTACATGATACTTTAATATATCTGATTATTTAAACTGTCACCTGCCCCATCATAACAGAAGCACACTTGTCACTGGGCCCAGGTTGACTGCTTGGATGAATGTCCTTTCCTCCTGAGCTGGCCCTGGCTTAAAGCTGTTACCAATAGGCTCTCTTAGGCTGACCTCTTCCCAGCTTCCCCTAGGCCATACAGGGCCTGTGACAGATGGTTGCTCTGTTTCCATTTGCCTGGCCAGGCCTCTCTCCTCCCCTTCAGCTACAGAATTGGAGCAACAAATATGAGCCAAGTAGGAAAGAACTCGAAGATTAAAAATGAATTGCACTGTCTGTAACCCACCCCTCTCCTCCTCTGTCTCCTTGAATAGGGAACACTGGGGTAAGATATAGGGAGAGAGTTGGTGTAAATCAAGGCCTGGATCTCTGATTGATTGATCAGTTTCAGTTTTTCTTTATGCACTCACAGAGCTTCACAGCTGAACAATGCCAGGCCAGGAGAGGATACTTTCCCTGTCCCAGGCAAATAGAATCCTGACTTGCTCAAGGCTAGTGAAATTCTCTCATTTTTCAACATAAATATGTAAGAATGGGCCCTGTGCAGTGCTACCTTCATTGGAACTGGTTCTTAAGTGTTTCTAAAGTCAGTATGTGTCATCTTGGGAGTGCTTTTCTGAAAGAGAGGCAAAGAGAAAAGGAGCAGTTAAGTTCTGGCAGACCAGCATTGGTGGGACAGAGCCACATGGTCACTTGGGCATTGTAGGCACTTGCCCATGAGTGTGCCACACCTATATTTTGAAGAGATGTCCCTGTCAGCTGAGTTTGCTTTCTGAACATGGTAGCCCCATCACAGCAGAAGCTTTCTCTTAGTCATAGAGGTCACAGAAGCAGCCATTCCTGAGGGATGGGGAGATAGAAGGTATCTGTTTAATGGCTAGCTGTTGGCACCTTTCACCCTCTGGCTTCTGCTTCCAGAGACAAGCCTGGTCACCTAGCTTTACCCTGGCATTCCAGTGACTGCCCTGGCACAGTGTTTACTTTAGCATTGTTTGTTCTGTGGACTGCCATATTTCCCTAGTAGGTGAGGAGCCAAACAGCTCCTTAGTAGCTACCTGGCTTTGAAAGGAATGCCCTGGTGTCTAAGGAGTTCCTGCCATCTCTGGCTAACTTGATAGTGATATGTTGACACTCCTCCATATTCCTATAAAATCAGATGAGTGCCCTCACACCCCATGATGGTATTTTAAAAAGGTCTCTTGTGCTCAGATGTTTCTGCAGCCGTGCTGATGTGCTGGGCACTGGGCCACCACTCTGTGATCATAGCATCAAAATGACAACAGCACTGAGCGGTGAACCTTTCACATTTCTGCAGCACGCCTGAGACAAGACTCCAACAAGGAATAATTAGCTTTCTTCCTTTTGCCGCCCACAGTACTTGTCTAACTTAAAGAGCCCCTCGAAGCAGACAGAATCCAGGTGTCACTCAGCCAGCCTGTGTTCATGAGAGGAAAATTTTCTGATGTAATGCCAGAATCTGAAAGAGAAAAGTGAGCCACACTTTCAGTTGTCTTTTTAAAGAGAGCTAAGATACTGCTTTTACTGTGGATGAAAAACTATCACAGAAAACATTTCAGAACTAATAATTTTTCAAAGTTCATACAACATTACAAAAAAGAAAATTCCTTTTGAAGTAGAATGGTTTAGAGAGCAAGGATGAGTATAGTCTTAGCCCATGGAAGGACAGAGTCAAAATTCACCTACTGTAGTCAAAACCACAATACTGGTAATCCAAATGTCTGAATGACCTGAACAGCCATAGCCAGGCTGAGGCAATTTGTGCCACTTTGCACCCACTGTCCCTGCAGCCTTCCAGGTAACACCAACAAGCAGCTTTCTTGAGGTCCAGATGTCAGAATCAGCCTTGTATCTTTGAAAACATACATCTGTTGATTCTGAAGTGTATGCATGCATATGTGTGTGTGTGTGTGTGTAAAAATGCAGCCTCACATAGAGACCCACATGAGCTGGCCTGGCCCTTCCTAAGCTTCTATAGCCTTAAAGATTTGGAGGTTGAGAATAAGAGACACGAGAGGCTGTTATTACTTAACAAAAGATCAAAGATACAGAGTCCAGGTGTGGTGGTGTACACCTTTAATTCCAGCACTTGGGAGGAAGAGGCAGGCAGATCTCTGTGAAATTGAGGCCAACCTGCTCTACATAATGAGATCCAGACCAGCAGGGGCTCCTGGGAGACCCTGTCTCAAAAAAACAAAACAAAAAGTTGGAGATGTAAATGAAGTGCCAGGGAAAGCATCCGCTCATATCACATAGTTATCTGCAGCCATGTTCCTTAGTAACTTATTAAAAATCATGTTGACAAAAATCAGACCCATAAATGCTTAGTAGCTAATGCTAGGCTAGTGTTCAAAAGCACTCTAAAATTTAGACATCTACCCATATTTTGGGAAATAAATGATTTGCATGTTTAATTCATCTTTTAGGCTACCTTGAGTATACTGTAAAGTGCTGTGTAATATATCAATAAAGTACTTAAAAATGGCACTTTAATATCTTCTTTTGAAAAACCATAAATAATGCACTGTTTTAAACTTCAGTATTGAATATTGATTGGTGCATAGAATCAAATTCTGTAATTAAAAAGTAACCTGTAACTCCTGTAACTAGGATAGAACATTTTCCCTGTTACTAGAAAAAAAAGTTTTATCATGTTCAAGCTTTTTTTTTTTTTTTTTAAAAAAAATGTTTTCGTGTCACTCTGCATATCTATGAAGAAAATACAGTTTCTGTGAGCAGCCACTGAGATTTGGCTTTCCTATGTTTGGTTGCTGTGTGTGGTGGTCCCTGTGAAGTGAGAGTGTGATGTTTGAATTAAAGGACTTTTCCATTTGGTGGTATGTTTGTTTCTTGAATTTCTGGTTTAGTTTGGACTCAAAATTAATTTCTTCTAATAAGTATATATAGACTCTGATCAAAGGTCGTAAGTCTAGACCCTGACACAGGGCTCAGCCACAGAGCTGATTTTCTTTGAGTGCCAAGGGGCTTTCTTTTTGACTTACCAAGTCAGATGTTTGAGGATTGGCCTTCAGTCCAGCCTATTATTACACAGTTAAGCTCCAAAGAGTCACATCTCGTACAAAACTGATTTTATCTCATAGAACACGCTTTTCCAATCAGTTGCTTTTTTCTGGAACTTGATGCATACACTCTGGAGCCCTCAGAAAGCCAGCAGGCAAGCTGCCAGCCTGTATGGCTCTGTGTTCTCATTCCTCATAGCTTTCTAGGAACTGAGTTGTGGGTTGGGACCCAGGTTCACAGTGAGCCTCCAGTTCTCTGAAGAAAGGGGATCTGGTGGCCCAGGGTGACACTTCTGACCAGATACTTGCCTCAGCATAAGGACTGGGGAGAGAAGCAAGGCATCCTTGGAGCCTGGGTCTAGGTGGAAGCTATTTGAATATGTGGGTCACATGTGAGCGGCCTGGGTCATCCTCCATTGCCACTTCTGGCCCTGGTTCAGCTCGAAGCAGTGTGGACTCACCATGCCTGCTGTCACACTCAGCACCTGAGCCTACACGTGTGGGGCATTTGGGTCTTGGTGAGACTGAGTCTACCACACGTGTATCTGATCCCATTGCCGAGAAAATGAAATATGTGTGTTCCTATCTTATCTGTGGCCTTGGCCTTTAAGCAGACTTCACAGTCACTTCAGCTTTAGCTTTCATGTCTGCACAATGTGAAAGGCTTCATTTTGGGGTTGCTTTTAGCTGCCACCCAGAGAACTGGGTCACATCCTGTGGTTTGCTGGTGTGTCGCATGTTAGTTCTGGAAGCATGATTAGTTAATTGGAAGGGCACCTTGGCTAGAAATGGACTTGACACTTAAAATTAGGTGACTATTCGACAGTGTGTGTAAAGAAAGATTTTCTCAGGCCCAAATAAGCACAGAGCCTTGAGAATTATATCACGTCTTCACTTCTTGTCTCAGGTCTTTCTTGGACTCTACTCAAATCCCACACATCTGCCCTATCCCAGTGTTTCAGTGTCACTAGCTTGCCCTGCTTTTAATAGCACTAAGCTAAGCTGCAATTAACTATGCTGAGCTAGTCAGTGTTGGCTGATTCCAGACTGCTCAGCAGCCAAGGTAAGCTCTAACCAAGGCATTGACTGCTCGGGTATGTGGGACTCTTGGAAGAGCCTCCTGGGAGAGCTATCCATAGGGGAGGGATTCCCACACGAGGATGCATACCAGAGCACTACTCTGGGATGGCCAGCATCAGACATTTGGGGACCAGAACCAGAAAGGTTTTCTATTGAAGTGGCTAAAACCATATGTCACAGCAGTTGGCAAATCCTGTCACACTATATCTATCCAGTCTCTCATGTAATTGACCCCAGGAGCCTGGCCACAGCCTCTATTGGATAAATCCAGGTAGTTACTATGCTTGCTTAAGGTCATCCAGCCATCCAGTGAAGACTTGAGTTTAGGGGTCCTTTAGGCACTAAGTCACATCTTACCAGGTTCTGTGCCATCCTAAAGTCCAAATATGTGTTCCAGCACTGTGGCCAGGTGTTCCTTTCATATTGATTAACTTGAATACAGGGTGGCCAACCTTTGGCAGAACATGCCATTTATCTATGAATGTCGAACCTAATCTCAATCCTCTGCTGCTGCTCATCACAACAAACCATCTGGATAACCAGTTGACCAAGAGCCAAAGGCCAGTTCATCCTGGTGGCTGATGGCTCTCATGCCAAGGTGGAGGTCCCATCAACACCATCAGAATCACCCCAGACATTAAAAGTACTTCCTAAGGACCCATCAAGGAAATTCCACACTGTCCATGGGCCCGGGTCTGGTATCTAGCACTCTCACTAAAATAATTCTCTGACTGAAGTTTCCTGTGGTGGCACCTGAAGTCCATTTCCATCTGACTTTTCTATTTTTCCATTTTCTTAGAGGGTTTTAAAAAATATGTATTTTTATTTTCTGTGTATGCATATATTGCCTGCATGTAGGTAAATGCACCCATGTCATGCAATGCCCTCAGAAGACAAGAAGAGGCTGTCAGATCCCCTGGAACTGGAGTTACAGACTGTTGTTAGCTGCCGTGTGGGTGCTGGGATTCGAACACAGGTCTTCTGTAAGAACAGTCAGTGTTTTTAATTGCTGAGCCATCTCTCCAGCCCCTCTATCTCCATTTTTATGCTTCTAGTCAGTACTTCCTTCTTGACCAACTCACTTGCCAGGAGTTGCAAAAGGCCACAAGGGGAGGACACCTTTGCTCTTATAGAACTCACAGGCAGCAGCATGGAGGGAGAGAGCCTTGCTGCCAGAGAAGAAAGAACCAAAGAAAGCCTAGAAGAGGTGACCTTAAAATGAACTTTGAGCTGGGTGTCCCAGCACTCAGGAGGCATAGGCAGGTGGATCTCTATAAGTTCAAGGCCAGCCTGGTCTACATAGCAAGTTCCAGGCCAGCCGGGCTACATAGTGAGACCTTGTCTCAACAAAACAAAATAATAACAAAAACCCCAGGAAAGATGGACCTTGAAAGGGGGAGAGTATGAACCACTTATGCAGTGTTCGAAGGGAGAGTGTCCCAAGTGGAAAGGCAGTAAGGACCAAAGCATGCATTCGTGGGGTGGGAATGCAGACAACCTCAGCATAACCATGAGGAGAGAGAGGGCTATCTGGAGGTTGAAGACTGTTCACCCTCACCTGCTCCCACCTTAGCCCTTGGACTTCTGTTTTGTTTTGTTTTTCTCAGTGCTGAAAATCTTATTTCTCACCAGGTATATGCAGCACTGTGCCTTTTGACATAAGGAGTGCTGTAATTATCTCATTAATAGATAAGAAAACTGACATTCAGGGAAATCACACAAGCTAGGAAGAGGAACCTGAAATTCTACCATAAGTCTATCCATGTCTACAATGCATATGTTCTTTTCAACCCTTTTAAATATTCCTTCATACATGCACACAGGATTATGCATCAATGCATGTGCAATTATGTCCCACGCAGGACTATTCTTAAGTTTGGTGGAAGTTTATCTTGCTTTATGCTTTGGTTCTTCCAATGCCCACAACAGTCTCCTCCCTCTCCACGAGCACTGCCAACAATCTCGTTTTGCCCTTCTCAGCAGAGAGCCCTTCAGAAAGCACAGACGCTAGGCTTTGGTTTGCAAAGGTAGGAAAGAGCTGAGCATGTCATTGTGACAACTTTTTTGCTCCTGGAAGCCTTTTGGTCACTCATCTTGGGCTCCGCAGCTGTTGAGCTCCCTGCAGATACTCCAGGTTCTCAGAACATCCCCTGGACCCCAGCTGTGCGCTTTGGCAGGTCCACCACCTTTGAGCATGCAGCCATGGCAATAGTTCCTGCAGAGGCCCGGCTGTGTTTGCCTGCCTGGAAATATGTGAATTAAAAAAAAAAATTTCAACAATTTGCACATGGTCTGTTCTTCACCCCTGATCCAGCTGCTGAGGACAGACCTTCAGACTCTTAAGAAATTGTCAGAGGACTCCCACAGGCTTATGTCTTACAGGAGAACCACTATTTCTAGCTCAATCAGCACACGTGAAATCATCCTGTGGCATTTTAACTCCTCCTTGAGCCTGAAAGTCAGAGCTAGAGGAGAGGGCAGGGAGCCCATACCAAGTAGCTGAGATCCTTGGGGCACAGGGAATATCTGACTTCCATGGGGTTCCGCTCCAAATTAAAACCCTCACCTTTATCTGAGGGACTGTCTTTCTGTGTGCTGAGGGGACAAAGTAGGTCTCCGTTACTACTTTGTAGGAACGCTCCCATTTGATGGGCTTTGCACATACTGCTTCTCCTGCATCATCTCATTTAATTCTCAAATCAAACCCTTAAACTACGTGCTGCTGTTACTCTATTTTGCCAGTGAGGACGTCAAATATCAGATTAAGCAACTTGCTCAAATCACAGAGTTAATAAGTAACAGAGTGGAGCTAACCCCAGCTAACCCCAGAGCTTATCTTCATAACTCCCAGAAAGCCCACTCTGGGGAAGGGCCCAGAGGCTCCACTGCCAATGCCCTTCATTCCCCTACCCTGAGAGAATAGCTCATTCTTGTCTTCTGACATCTAGTACCCCTTCTATTGGAAACAGCACCTCACTTTTGCTTCGGAGAGCCACATGGAGCATGGTCTGGCATTAACCCTGAATCTAATGGTGACTATGTTTCCCTTGTCTGGCCTATTGGATCATTAAACCCACCCATCCAAAGTGATTGGTTGATTCAGGACCCAGGGTCTATAGTGCCACCATTTGGAGCTGGAGCAAGGTACTAAACCCAGCAGAGGACATCCTCACCTGTGAAGATAGTGAGTGCTGTGGCCTACCCATAGTGGCTTCTCAGCTTGAATTGACATGGTGTTTGAAGGTTGCTTACTTTAGGTGGGTGGCTTGTTGAGACTGAAAAGTGCACCTGTTAGAAAAGTTGCCTCAGATAGCAAACAGAAACTTTTATCTGTTGCAATATAAAAACGGATAAATACAGTCCTGGTTTACGCAATCCTGAAGTTAGCTCACCAAAAGAAAATCCTCAATGCCTTTCTTTACTTAGCAAAGCTTGTGTTTACAATTCTGATGTTGGGTCTTCTTTCTGAGCCAGGAGAAGCCAAGACCCACTCTCCTAAGAACTGGGAGGAATCATATTAGAGTCCTGTGTGAAATGACTTTCCCAGCCCCAGCTGCAGCACCCTGTCACCGGCTGATGGGCCCTGCAGTGGTGCATTAGTATTGAGCCAACTTCACCCCACAGTTCTCACAAAGGCCCCCGGGCAGCTGTAAGAAGGAATGGCAGTAAATCATGTCTAACTGTGAGATGGAATTGGGTGCCATAAAGTACTCCTCAGCTCAGAAAGGTGCACATCCTGG